ACATACCTACTAAAATAAATTGCCTATTGCAATGTATGTACATATATACCAAATACATAAGTGAGTTGAACTTTTGCCCGCTATGACGATATGACACCTACATATGTGCCTACCGATAAGCTCTAGTGTATATTTGCTTTCTGGCAGCTTTTATGACATAGTTGTTGCATGCGGTAAGTTGCCTTTGAAGCATGAATTTTAGAAAGTCATTACTTGCCATATTCAATTTTTCCACAAACTGTGCATTTACGGTGGCAGCCAAGTGCAATTAGTATGCATGTATGCGTGTGAAATTATCCTGCTATGTATTTTCCCTTTAAAAATGGCTGGACTCTGCGGTCTATTTGTGCCATATTGGAGTACTTACAAAGGGCTCCGCTGTAATGCTGTAGCGGCCCAACTCGTGTCTCTACACCAGCTGTAGGTAACTAACCAGCTCTAAAAAAAAAATAAATGGCAAGTACCGCAAAGTGTGTAACTCTACTTTTCACTATTATCAAAATTTTCAGTTTAGCGTGTATAATTTTTGAAGCAATTAATAACTTTTTAAGTAAATATGTATTTCATTCTACAAACAATTACGAATAATTTGATATCTTAGCAAGAGGTGTGCTTCCAGAATAAACCAGCTTTTAAAGATTTTTATTCCAAAAACATCTTAATTGAAGGCACATTTGGAAAATACGTCAAAACGATCTAAATCTTTTTTTAACTACTAGTCTTTATAACATTACATTAGTATACCTGTAAAATTCTTCAAAAATTTGTTTACTAGTGTGTAAATCTATATTTATATATATATAATATTATATATATATATATATTATAAATAAATATTTACGACTTTTAATGAGGATCCTTCTTGTAGTGAGAATATTTCGAGCGAGGTATCAAATCAACTTTTTTTTAGACAAAGGTTCTGAAAGTTTCTCCTATTTAATTGAGGCCTTCTGTTTTGCCAGAATGGCTCTACTTTTCCAGGTAGTGGTACTTGAAACTTTGCTTAAATTTTAACTATTTTATAAATAACTCCCTCAGTTTTGAAGAGAAAATGCCTAACTTCACAATTTTTACGTGATTGCAATAAATGAGGTATCAGTTTGTTTGAAAATAAATGATATTTTAGGCAATGCTCCGTATTTTGAAATTCTGGAATTTATCGATGGTCAACATTTAAAAAATTAAGAAAAATATGGGGTTTTTTTACCCGATAAAAAATTCCAACAAGCGAAGTCCGATAATAGATTATTGTATGCCATTTAAAGTCATATATATCATCTTCTCAACTCATATTAGATCTTTGAAATCGAATCAAAAATAGTCATTCAAAAACTCATGAATCTACAAAATCTTTCTCATAATCGTTTCTCATAAAAACGAATACAATTAGGGGTAGGGTCATGAAATTTCCAAAAAAAAAACATTTTCGATGGGCACCCTAATGTATATACATATGTATGTATGTACTAGTATACAAACATTATAATGAGAAATTTTGTTTACACGCACAAATTACAAACATGATCATGTTATTTAGCACATAACAGGGCAGTTAATTAAGCGTAATGAAGTCTGTCATATATGACAATGGAATTACAAAACCGTAATTGGCGCATGAAGCAGTGCGTAGTACCTGGTCAAAATAACAGGGTTGACTGAAAAAGGCAAAGTGAGGCAAAGTTGTATCTCCAAGACCATCCGCCCACCTCCTTTAAAATGGAGGAAAATGTTTTTTTTTATTGAAAAACGCAAATATATGACCTTCGTCCAGAAGTGGGTTAAACTGACCGGAAGTACATCTCTGGATGTTCTGCAAGTGGGCCTAAGATTATTAAATTATTTCTGAACACTGCTACACCGTTCAGTAAAATATAAGACATAAAAAAAAAACTTTCGGTCAGGGCTTTACGGATATGATTTATGTTAATTAGTTACCCGTTTCTAGGCGTCCGGGAATGAATTTTGTCCGCCTAGCTTGTTCCACACGACACACTGTGCGGCTTAATTTCAGGTCACTATGTATTCCGTTGGACCGACGCTCCAACAATGGTTAACGCCAACGAGCACGCTATGCAAAAGCTATCGCGATGAGAATGAGGAGGAAGCAATTAGTTACTTTGTGTGGCGATATTCAGATCTGTAGTCAAGGCGGCACAAACACCTCGGCTCAGGATTTTCACCACTCTGTCAGAGAACTATAAGGCGTGGCTATATCTTCTTTTAACTGGATACATTTAATCCAGTGATTTTTCGTTTTTTTTTTTTCAAATAATTTATTTTCTCAAGCTGTTAGGGATCTTCGTTTGAACGTAATCTCTTAAAAGTTTGAAAACAGGAAATATTTAATCTCAAGAAGCTAAAGTGGAGAATATTGTGGATGCAGTTGCGCTGCGAACGGCCAAAGTCATAGATTTTTGTTATAGGCTGTATATGAAATTCACTTTTTCCATTTTCATCGCAATTCACGAGATTGTCAAGGGCTAAAAGTTGCATTAAATTTTGTGCACTTATTTATTAAACAAATTCATATTTGAGTTTAGATACGAGATAATGCTAAAAAATGGCACGAAGTGCTGAAAACATTGTTATCGTGTATGTATTTGCTACACAAACATTTTGTTCGTAGTTACAGTAGAAGCCCCACCGGAAGCTGCAGCTATGTATGTATGTGAATGTGCACTTAGCAGCCATGGGCAAGTATTTAATTAAATACTTATATTACAAAGTAAATAACTGTATCGCCAACATTAAAGTAGGTGACAGGAAGTTACATTAACTAGAAAATTGCCAAGGAGATAAAATGAGAAGTTGTTTTATGTTAGGTACATGGCATTAGATGGAAACTATTGGTACGGTGACCATTCGTACCGATTTTAGCGGGCCAGTACTGATTTTGAGAAAATTGTCCCGCTGAATATTTTTCAAATGTCGGGACGTGTAATAGTCATATTTGTACCGATTAAATACCGCTTTTTAGTGTTTTCTTTTTTAATTTAATAAGAGACTCCTTGTACTCTGGCCCAAAAACAATTTTACGTACAAACTTGGCAGCATTTTCGTTACCACAAAGGACATACAATATAAGGGAGCCGGCCTCCTTATTTTCAATGATATTGGTTATGTTTTGTTCTGTCTAACTGGTATTCTCGCTAAATTACAGTCTATCATTCTTGTATAATTTTTTTGTAAGTTTTTTATAATTATTTGTTAATTTTTTTAATGAAACGATGCTAACTTGAATTTAGGGAAATTATAAAAATAATACCAATTGCCTCAAAAAAAATCAAAATTACTAAAATTCGACAAAATTTCATGAAAATTTTGAGTTTTTTAATTCTATTTCTGAGAAGCATTCTAAGTAGGCAGTTTTGTAGCCCATTCAATTCAAAGTGCAAATTTTAAGTAGCTAGGACTTACCATTGATTTTTGGTAAGTTTGTTTCGTGGAACGTGTTGCTCATTTTCTCCATACAAAAAAAAATCTTGAACATACTTAGAACGAAAATCAATGGTCCAAACTAGAGATGGGCACGGGACTAAATATTTAATCCCGACCCCGCCCATACCGAAATTCGATTTTTAAGTCCAGAACCCGCCCATACCGACATTTTTCAGAATTGTACCGCGGGTCCCGTGGATCCCGATATCTATCTCTAAAGCAGGCTACACACGGACAACAAATTGAGGTTTGCAAACCGATCGAAGGTTCCCATAAATGTTCATGTCTTTCATATTAATTTGAAATAATAAAAATAATAATGAAGGATCTGGCATCTTCCTAAAATTTTTTTTCTTTTTCGTCTCAATATAACGTTAAACATATTTCAAACATCGTTTTTAAGGAAAATTTTGTGAATTTGCGGGGGTTGCGGTTTTATCGGGAGTGTCGGGAAAGGATTTTGGTCCCGTCCCGCCCGCCATATTTTTACAGATCTTCCCGATACCGCCCATCCCGGGCAATTTTAAATCAGTACCGCGGGTCCCGCCCATCTCTAGTCCAAACTACTTCAAGCTTGCACTTTATAAAACTACTAAAATTTAATGGGCTACAAAACTGTGTACTCAAAACAATTCTAGAAAATCTGATACAAAAAAAAATTTTAAATTTTGATCAACATTTGTTAAAACTCGTCAAATTTTTATAAATATTTTATAAAAATTGAAATTTTGTTTTAAATGTTTTTTCTTATTGCGATTTCGTGTCTACCGATAAATGCCACCTTCTCTTTGCCCTCTACATACAAACACAAGGAAGAGGGCGATAAGAAGGCAACAATTTTTGTAGAAACGGAATCGGCATTAGATAGTAAGTTATATTTTCATAAAAAAAAATAATTAACATTTTTTTTAACAAAGAAAAGTAGCCAAAACTTGCTAAAATGTCTTTTCCCTATTTACATTCTCGCCACCGTATATATTAAGTTTTTTCTTTTTGTTTTGTTTTAAATAAAAGTGTATTAAAAGATGTTACATATATCTTTGTATTCTAAAAAAAAATTAAGTTCGGATTCGATGCTTTAGAAATGTCCCGATTTTTGAACAAAGAAATCTGGTCACCGTAACAGTTGGCAATAGCTTAGAAATCAATATGCAAGAAAAAACTATTTTAAAATGAATTGGTTAACTGATTCTTTAAATTCATTCTCGTATAGAAAGCTGAGTGTAAGAAATCTTTTCGATGATGTTAGTATGAATTCTAAAACCCGTGCTGGTCTAAAGCTTCATTAAAGCAACTTCAGGGATGCTTAAAGGATATCGTACTCAGATGTGAACACACATACGTATATATGGGCTTGTAATTTTGTAACAGATAATAAGCACAAAAGCACAAAAAAAACTCAGCACAGTATAATGTATTTACTAAGTATTTTATACCAAATTACCATATCACTAAAAATTCGAACCCTGCCAATGTAAAGTTTCTTGTGATTACGTGGTGCATATCGGTTTGCATTTATACTTACCGCTGCATAATAAAAATGTATGTATTTGATTACTTACCGACAAAGACGTGTAGCTTTTCTGAAATGAAAGAAAAAGTTCGTATAAATAATGGTTTGGTTGCAAATCGTAACAAAACCTAAAACCTAAAACACCGATATTTATTCAGCTATTTCTACTTTTCTAATTTAATTCGCAACTAGAAAACTTTGAACTGTTAAAACCAGAGACCCAGGATTCATCTCTGATAGGAATGGCGCTAAAAGGTCATAGAATTTATAGCAATGCCCCCAAAAATGTTTTCTCTATTAGCTGTCCTCATTCAGATCCTAGAAAACGGCGCAGGTAGACCACGTGGCCAGTTGTTGGTAAGCTTTATGAAGCAATATAAATTGAAGGCTGCATCAAACTTAAATCGAAATATCGCAGAAAATGTATTGATAGCGTCATCAACCTTCCCACTCACAAGACAAACCCCCCCCGTCATTTCGAATTCAACAAAAATCTTATATTCCACTAATCACAAAACCTAATAATTTAAACTTCGTTAAGCTTACTCAACGCGACCTAAATAAGCATAAATACATACATGTTCAAATATGAAAATGCGACACCTGTTACTTGGCATAAATTAACATTTAGGCTTTCGCACTCTAAAAAAAAATAAATCTACTCATCTAACACCGACAATGATTATCGATTTTCCCGGAAAAACGTATGCCAGATAAATTCGAAAAGCAAGGAAGAATGCAAAAATATGTCTACATACATAAAGATAAAAGCAAAGGCAGAAAAGTAAATAAGTAGTAAAAGAATGTACCACATGGCGTCGAACAGAAGTGATTATGTTGTAGTTTTCAACTTCCCTCCGGTTGCTTGCGGCTGCTAATATAAAATGCGCGAGATTCAAAAGTGATGGATGGTAAGCGAAGTGAAGAGGCGTAGGCGTGCCACTAGAATGCCAAAGCATTAAAAAATATATTGAAAAAATATACTCGTAAACATAGGTTTATGTGTGGAAAATAAAAAGGAGGAGGATGCAATAAAAAACACGAACAATAATGTTGGGCGGCCTGAACGAAAGGATAGAGTCAACACGAAGACAGGCACGTGGAGTCATAATGTAAGAGGCGGTGAGGGAGAACGAGAGATAAATGTGGGGAACATCGACGCTCTGTAGGGCTACATACTTATAAACTTGTCGACAGTTTATAAGCTAGTCGGCTGATTGCCAGCTGTTGCCTACAGAATTTACTAGTAACAAAATTTTATATGAAGGGAGTCTAGAGACCGCGTCGATGCTATGTAGAACCGCGAATGGGGAACAATGTCTTACGCTACTTACTTCCCTTCGCCCTAATACAACTGCTTTGGCGTTTCTATCACATTTCGCGTGCATCAGTAGAGCATAAGGTGGTTTGTCTCCGTGAGTTCGTCGGATGTTGACGGGCGAAAAAACGCCCATTGCGCTGCACTAAATTGGAAGGAATATGCATATCACAATCTACAAGCTTGATACATACATATGTTTGGCTGTGTGTGGCAATGTGAGCAAGCACCGGCTTTCGATATTATTTTATGAAGTTCCTTCCTTTTTCCGTTATGCGAGCAAACTTCTCTACCCACACACCTGTATGTGCTCTTCTCAAACTTCTAGGAATTATCCTTTTGTAAGTGTGTAAGTAAACAAAAAAAATACATATGTACATCTTAAGATAGAATGCTTCGTCTACGCTATGATGCCTGCAGTGAGTGCTAAATACGACTAGTTCATTCAGTGGTATGAACTGATGCCTAGGCTGACTAGTTTGGCAATTTTGAGCAGTTTCGAGCAAGGGTTTTTTTTCCTTGTTTTTATTTTTAATTTACTTAGTTTAATTTTTAAAATCTGTTGTTTTATAAAGAAAAATGTATATTTCTCCATTTTGTATAAATTATTTTACTTTTTTGAATTGTATGTGGAAATTGACAGAAAATTAAAAATCATTTTCCGTTTGAATTGCTGGTGAAACCGGCTGTAACATTATACATATTTTTTTAATTTAATTTTTTTTTTCATTTTCCTTTTATTTTTAGATTTTATTGTTTTAAAAAGAAAAACATTTTTTAACTTAATTTAATTTTTAGATAATAAATTTATTGTTTTTATTCTTTGTTTAAAAAAATAATTAAAATTAAAAGTTTTTAATGTATTTTTTTCTTACGGTTTAATTTTTATTCCTTTTTAATTTAATTTCTTTTAATTTTTTCATTTTAAAAAGAAAAAAATTTTATTTCATTTGATTTTCATATACGTAATAGTTTTTTCTTTTATTGATTTAATTTTCTTTTAGTTCTTTGTTTTAAAAAGGAAAATATTTTTTTTTTCATTTTTAATATTTTTATTGAGCTTTGTACCACGATTGTTTATTAGGAAAAATTTAAAAAGCAACAAAGTCTAAGCAGTAGAAGTTATAGCACTATTTCGGAGATCACCACATCTCCTCATCAGAGTTCTTTTTTCTAGACTTCAGCAGGGATCGAACCTGCGTAATCGATGTTCAAAGTCAGAAGCGTTAACCACTGAGCTATGTACATCCCGTAAACTTTTGTTGCTAATTCATTTTCCTTATTTTTTTTCATTTGGTTTCTAAGAAGTTATTTCCTTTTATTTAAATTCTTTTTTTTTAATAAAATTTTCTTTTAAATGTTAGATTTTATTGTTTAAAAAAAACATATATATGTATGAATTTTTTTAATTTAATTTTAAGACACTTGTTTTGTTAACTTTTTAATCGTTTTATTTTTTTTTTTATGTTTAACTTGTAATTTTAATTTTTTATTATTTTATTCAGAAACACATGAAAAAACTTAGGCGACATTTTT